GACACAAATATACAATGTAAAGCATTAAAAAAACCAAACACACAAATGCTGTACACTTTCACACTGTACAGTAAGCACACAGGACCATAACGGTGACAATGTTCAGCAGACACATGAGCTACTTCCATGATTTGTATGCATCTACAAATGTTCCTAAGGTTAGTAAGTCAGGAACTTCTTGTATTTAATTTAAAATTTTTTAACATGAAAAAGAAGGTACACAAATACACATTACATTATGATGACCAAGGCAGTATTCTACATGACAAAAATCAAAACAAAACAAATTTATAAAGTAAATGTCCCAGCACTGAACAAGATGCTTGAAATTAATCCAGGCTTCATATGCATAAAATGATCTGACCACAGGCTTATGCAAAATAAATTATTCCTGAGAACACCAAAATGCCAACCATTCTGTCTGTAAACTGCCTTATTCCCAGTGAATGTTTTGAAAGACCTACTATATAATATGAAAAGAGCTAGCGTGACACTTAAAGATGGCAAAAAAATAGAATATAGTTAAAAACATATTTGTAGTGCAGTTCTGCGTAAAATATGCAAGTCAATCTTACTACTTAAAAATCTATACTTTAAATTAAAAACAAAAGGGCCAGGGATTTAGCTCAGTGGTTCTGGTGCCTGCCTCATAAGCGCAAGGTCCCGAGTTCGATCCCCGGTACCAAAAAAAAAAATAAACATATTTCTTATATGTTACAATTCTCTATAATTTTATGCTGTGGATAATGCTTTTTGCTTTAAAACAAGTTCCAAGCATTAAGAGAAATATATATGGCTCACAAATGAATAAGCAAATGTCTATAAACATTTTCCTTTATGTTTTTATTACTTTCAAACTTGAAAATTGAAGAAAAGGTAATAAATCTAAAAGCTTTGGAAAAGTTACATTTCTAATGAAATGAGGTACCTCAAAAAAGATAAAAAGTTAATTTATTAAATGCCTACAAATTTTAAATCATTCTAAATTTAAAACTAGTGTACCTAAAATTAAATTTTGCTCAGATTGTATCATTATAACCTATTTAGAAAATGATGGTTACTTTCCAAGTCTTTTGCATAAAAATAGGACTAGTGCAGGAATG